CCACCACCTCCTCCTCCACCACCCAGGACAAAGCCCTAGAGGAGTACCTGTGGTCAGGGAACCGTGGACAGATTGACGCGGGGACACTCTACGCCTTCCTGGTGTCACGTGGTACGCCCAAGTACCCCAGGGACATCTACTTTGGCACAGAGTAGGTGGCTGCGCGGATTCTCCACAAGCTCAGTAATTGGTGTCATGGTTGGCTTATCATGGATTTAGTTCAGGGGGAGTAATGGTTAATTCCGACTTGGTTTAATAACCCAGGCTTGAATTTTAACTGTATGTGATAATAGTTGTAAAGAGCTTAGACATGATATGAAGACGGGCTTTAAAAATGCAAATAATGTTAGCAAACTATATTGAAATATCCTGCGTCCTACCCCCGGGGGGGGAAAGAAGGAGTAGATGACAGATTTTTAACCCCCCGGGGCGATGCTACTGACTGAAGTGTTTTAGGGCATTCCCAAAGGGGGGATATTAATATAATGTTCTTATGCACAGAAGAATAGAAAATTGTAAATGGGCTGATTCAGCAATGCTCATAACTGAGCCTGAACTGCAAACAGGGAACTGCTGCTTTTTCTTTCCTAATCTTTACTATCGTCATTTTTCCTCTACTTCTTTTGTATGTTTTTCACACTTTTGTGACCCACTATTTTCGGGGTGCCTTGACAGTCGAAGCAGACTTTGTGCTGTTGAGGCTAGAGAGGTGAGCAGAGTAAGCCCGATTCCCTCTAAGGAATTCTTTGTTAACATTCACCCCTTGGCGCTCATATGACCGTATGCAGTTGCAAGCACAGTAAAACCTCCATTAATAAAAAAGCCTGTGTCTTAAATTATCTGAACTAAATCGATGGGGACGTAAATCAGGTACAACTGTGTAGATCTAAGTGGCATGGAGTTGAGAACCTGCCACTGTTGTGACGGATGAATGTTTTGGGGGGAGTTTTTGTTTCTGCTGTCGAAAAGACAAGAAGCATCTTTTGTTGTTTCAGGGTGTGGGGTATTTAGTTTGCTTTGTTTCGTATTTTTAATTTTTTCACTAAACTCCTGTTATTTTGTCAAGATACTTCTTCATTTTCAGACAAAAACGACTGTTCTCTTTTTATCTCTAGGTGGGCCAGGTTTATAGGAGAGAAGAACAGTTTCCTGGCTAAGCCACTCCGCGAAGCCCTCAACGCCTTCAGAGATGGCAACCAGTAAGTCTGTCCCCAAAATAAGACAAACAATAAAAAGACCAGTTGGGTCATAATGTCAATTTTTTTGTTTTTCCAATTTTAAAAAAAATATATTCTTGAGCTATATAGTCCATAGAACATGTGCTGAAAATTTAGTACAGGTAAAGAGCAATATTAGATCAGTGGATATTGGAGTTGGAAATTATTGAAATATTTGTCTTGAATAATTAAACATACATGACTGGACAATGGTGTGTTCGGTACTTAAATAACCTCATTTGTGTTGCAAGTACGGTAAAGCTCTTTACTATAACTAAATAAGAAAAAACTGCTGCCATTTTTCAAACATCGAAATCAAGTCACCAAAGATTGATTCTCGGCTTGAAATTGTGTCACATTTAACCCATTTGACTCAGACAGGCAGAGTCAGGGTAGCTGGTTTTCAGCACATGTTCTATGGACTATGTAGCTCAAGAAAGAAAAAAAATTTTTAATTGGAAAAAAAAATAGACATACTACTGCTATTTTCGGGATGCCTTGATAGTTGAAGCAGACTTTGTGATGTTGAGTCTCGAGTCTAGAGAGGTGAGCAGAGTAAGCCTGATTCCCCGTTTGGACTTCTCTGTTGACATCCACCCCTTGGCGCTCGTATGACTTTATGCAGTTGCGAGCGCCGTAAAACCTTACCAAAACTAAGACTCTTTGTTTGCAACTCTCGGTGACATTTAGGATGAAATGAGTAGTACATGTACAAGGCTTTAACACTGTGATTGGGTGATTACATTTTAAAGTTTCTTTTGGACGCCATTGAATTACCTAAATTATTAAGTGTTGCTACTGAAACGTTTGTCTAAATATTTGTGCTGGTGGGGTCGTAAAATCATTGAGAATGTGCGTTCTGGCTCTTTTACAATGCTTGAAGTTGAAGAATGATAATAATAATAATAATGGATTGCATTTATATAGCGCATATCCACTTATGCAGTGCTCTATGCGCTTAACATGATACATATTATGGATTTACAAATCTATTTTAAAGGTACATAATGTTACATACTCGGGCAAACACATATTCACTCACGCACGCACCACACACACATACATACACACATACGTACATATGCACATACGCACATACGCACATACAAACTCACAACGATCTACAGCTTGGATGGATTCTGTCTAATCGAAATATGATGAAAATAGAAATGCTTTTAGTTTCTTCTTAAAAATGTCTAGATTTTCTGCTTCTCTGATAGTTTTTGGAAGCCTATTCCAAACAAGTGGGGCAAAATATGAAAAAGAGCGTTGGCCATTTGATTTGTAATTTATTTTAGGCTTAACAAGGGTTGTTTTGTCACTTGATGATCTGAGCGTTCTAGGAGGCACATAGGGTGTTAAAAGCTGTTTTAGATAGTCCGGTGATAAATCATTTAAGCACTTGTAGCAAGTTAAACAGATTTTATATATGATACGCTCTTTCACTGGGAGCCAGTGTAATGAAGAAGTGCTGAATATTTAGGAAGCATTTAAGAAATTGAATTAAACCCAATGTCGTTATGCATACTCATTTTTCACGACTGTTTTCTTTAGCTAGCACTTAAAAAGGCAGGCAACAACATGCATACTCAGAAATATGCAAATTCATGTGTATAATTTTACTACAATAAAATTAAAAATCTGCTCAGAACCAAATTTTGATAGATTTGATGTAAAAAAATTGCGTTTCACTACATATACATGTCAAGCTTCTTCAAATGCAATTCTTTGAATATTTTGATATTTAATCTGAGTAATCTTACGATTTTGATACAGGAAGATAAAACATTTGGTTTCTGACCTTATGGTCTTAGTAACTCAAAATGGCCAAAATTGTCAGATAGTACTTTGTAATTTTAAAGTAGGGATTTGTGTATGATAGTTTTAAATCTACCAAAACATTGCTTCTGGTCTGTAGTCAGTTGCTGCTGATTGGACTTATGTTTCCCACAGTTTAAAGAGTTATAAGAATTTATAATCGCTGGATTACCTGAACAAATCCTAATAAAGTAGATTTGTTCCCTTCCATCATATGTGTCCCCTCCAGTATGTGGGAGAGCCACTAGGAAAAACAGAAAAACAATAAACTGTGTGATATAAAACCCAAACTGAAACAGCGAAATCCTTCGGACCTCTCCAGAAGAGACGAAGTCATTTTTACTCAATTTGCGCATCGGACACACGGCCCTGACCCACAAATACCTCCTACAGGGAGATGAGAAGCCGTTCTGTGTCGGACATCTTAACCAAATGTCTAGACTTTGGAGAGACCCGAAGGAAATATAATAAATGCAAGAAATTGCAAGACATTTTTTCCGTCGTTGGTCCCAGCAGAATTTTGAATTTTATGATGGCAAATTGTAAAGTGAAACAATAATATTGTTTTTAAAAATGTTTTTGTTATTTATAAGAGTTGTTTTAAATCGCAAATATATTTACACAGAATTTTAGTATTTTAGCATTTTAAAGTCTAATTGTCGACCAACCGTGCAGTGAACTGTTGCGAATGCTACCAACTTGTGTTTCGCGCGCTCATATGACCTTATGCAGTTGCGAGTTGCGAGCGCCGTAAAACCCTGTACTACTAACTAACATATGTGTCCACAGCGCCCTGGCTCTGTACCTGTACCTTCTGCTGGCAGACACGGGCCTGGAGGTGGCTAGCTTTAACCTGGCTTACCTGTGTGAGCAAAACAGGGTGAGTGACTTATCTGTGTGTGAGCAAAACAAGGTGAGTGACTTACCTGTGTGAGCAAAACAAGGAGAGTGACTTATCTGTGTGAACAAAACAAGGTGAGTAACTTACCTGTGTGAGCAAAACAAGGTGAGTGACCTATATTTGAAATTGTCCCAGACAGCCACCTCATCAGTGTTGCTATTGAGGAGAAAAATGTTTGTCTTTGACAGGTGGGTGTCTTGGGTAGTCTTGTTCGAATGTGTGTGAAAGGCGCAGGGAGGGAAGTGGAGATTGGTTGTTTCTTTTGGTGATGTTTGTGCTGATGTCATTGTTCTGTCGTTTTTGTTCAGGGAGAAGGGGTCTTTTTTTGTTTGTTTTTTTGTGATTGGTTTAGTTGGGTGGTGGGGTTTTTTTTTCAAGGTTTGAATTTGTGTTTGATTTTGTTTTGCTTTTTTTTTGTAAACTGTATGTGAAGGTAAAATACTAGGGTTTGAAGACCCCACAATTACCTGTCGTCCAACCTGCTTTAAAGGCCACCTGTATAAGACATTCACCTGAACAAACGGTCACTACCCACCCCCCACCCCCCTTGTGTATTCTTACATTGCAATGGCACTGTGTAAGATGACCACTTATAACAAACACTTTTGTTCTTGTCAATTGGTGGCCGTCTCAGACTGTTTCAAATATAAGTGATATAATCGAAACCCTCTG